ATTCTTTCGTTACTAAGACCAACAATTCTACAAGCCCATTTGATTCGCCGCGATGTAATCACCTCAATTATATTAACCGGATACAGTTCACACAATTCGACATTGTGTAACCATCTAAACTCTCCGATCAACTGCATAGAATAGTCCAATAAATATTTATAATAAATCACTTTAATTTTAATACCTTGTTTAACCTACCATTATCATATGTTTACTTTTCCTAGCTTCATAGCTTCCTCACCATTTTCATTGGTTCCACGATACCTATATCTCAATGTCTATTACTATTGATACGAATTTTACTAATTACCCCTTTCTTCTAGCTTTGATCCAGATCGAACGAGCCGTTTTTGAAATATCGGTATATCATAGAAAATACATTTGCGCATGCGCAACCGGAAGTACTGTACAGAATTTAATAAAATCGATATAGCTTCATTATTTTACCAATACAAACTTTTCTTTCAACGCAAAGTCAAATCGAAAACGAGCTGTTTTCGAAATATTGGTATACCTATGATAATACATTTTTGCGGGCGCAACCGGAAGTACTTTACGGAATTCAATTAAATGGATAAAGCTTGATTACTTTACCAATTCCCACAGTTCTTTTAACTTTGAACCATATCGATCAAGCCGTTTCGTCAATATTGATATATTTTTTTTTTAAACATATTTATTAAGAGATATTACAATCTGTCACAATTAAGGACATTTATAATAGTGCTCAGAGAGCACATTCACACTGTATCAGCAATAAATACAAATAAATAATACAGAAAAACAATAATTTGGTATATCTAAGAAAATACATTTAAAGTGCTATTTAATTTAATGAAATTAATATGGGACCATCTAGGCACCAATCTGCAGAATCACTGAAAATTTCATGAAAACCGGATTAACGGTAGGAGGTGATATTAGCGTCACATCGATTAGACAGACAGACAGACGTAAAACGCGAGTGGAAATTTTCGATTTTGAGTACTTTTTTTTTTTAACCTCCCGCACGAATATAAAGCTTCCCTACCTTCGGTAGTGAGGAAGTAATAAAAATTTAAAGTGGAGTTGGTTGATTTAGGGGATCCAATGCCCCAATTGATGTACTAAACCCATTATATTCAAAATTAGGATTTGAATTTCTAAACATTTTTTTTCTTTATCTAGGCTTTCCTGATTTTCCCAAAACTGCGAATAACGTAATAGTTTTGAGAAGTTTTAAGAAGAACTGACCTCCACAAGTAAATTCGGGGTGTTTGACTGATGGAGAAGGGCCATGTGTTTCCGAAAAAAAACTTATTTTTACTTCTCCTCTTCTAATACTAGCTACCTAACAACCATCACTTGGTACATACTCAATTCAACAAGCCATTTAATGTTATCAATTTCATCAGATAATATATATATATATATTTTACAAACATTATAAAGTAACAACCTTAAAAAGTTGGCACCTCCCATGTTCAGTTTGAAAAAAAAAAAAGCTATTATTTTATTCTTACCAGACGCTTCTACTCAGCCTCCACTGGTTATTAATATCAGTAATGCGGTTGAGTGAAAAACGAGGGAAAATCTTGGTTCGGAAATCTTGAGTGATCGAATTTTGCAAATATTGTATAAAAGCATGTGTGTATTTAAGTAGTTATTTGTGATTAATTTAATTTCCTTTTCTTTTTTTTTTTTTTTTGTTTAGTTTCATTTAGTTTATATGTGTTGACTTTTAGTATTATTATTTTGCTGTTTATTTATTTTTATTTATTGTGTATAGTATGAATGAGCTACTCTTTTATCACTATTACTATTTTCCTTAGATGTGACAGATAGTAATATATCTCAATAAAGAATTTTCGATAAAAAAAAACTCTTACCAGAAGTGAATTCAGATTTTAATTTGGGGAAGAGGGAATAGTTTCTTTACAATATTGAGCTATGAGCAGTAAAACTTTAAAATATGCATAGGTATTATATTTGATCGCCATAATGCTTTTAAATATTTAAAAGTGTTATTAGACAAACAACGATCATATAATAATAAATCTTAAAAACAATTACAATTAAATAAAATAAATGAATATTTTAAGATACTTTTATTCGTCATTTTTACTACTTCACAATTCATCGTAAAAGAGTAGGTAAGTATTGAACTATTAAAAATTCTAAATATATTAAGGTAGGTTAAGAAATTTTACAAACTATGGGGAATAAATTATCTAACTTAACCAACGGCGACATTATAGATAAACCAAACTATTTATTTTATTTCTCTTGATACCTCTACAATGGAAAATATCAAAAACAAGAAACAAAAATACTAGTATAATGAAATATCTAAACTCACCTTTACAGTTAACAAATAATTTGGAGCGTAAACTTTCATGAGCTAAGAATTGATATCTAGATTCCAAAGAGCTAAGAACTCGGGATCAAAGAAGAACGTGTTCCTAGAAACTGGGAACGACCGCAGTGTAGTTTTGACCTTTAAGTAGCAATGTCTAATGTAATCAAATATAATCGAACACGACTAACCTTTAATTTTATTTCTACTACTACATTAATAATAATAATAATGTAATAAAAAAAATAAAGATTTTAAATCAAGATGAAATAAGCATTAAATAAATTGTTTTATAGTTTTCTAGGAGATAGATATCTTTATTTTAATTATTAGTCAATTAGAAACTTATTTATTTACTGGTAACCACCAAGCAAGAAAGTTCTGATTAGTTTTTCCAGAATTAAAACTAAAAAAATGTTCGAAACTTAGTGATAGTATAGAGAGTTATTGAAAGAGAATTTAAGATAAAAACGAATAATGTTTCTAAAACATTTTACTCAAAAATTAAGAGCACGTCATCAGGTAATATTAAAAGACCAATTGAAATAATCATTTATCGAATCATTACGTAAGATCTTATTTTCAAAGATCATCAAGCAGTTATTTCCATTTTATTTATGGTAGATTAATTTAGATATTTTATCAATACGACGTAATTTAATTTTAATTTAAACAGAACTAATTTTGAGTATTTGTATATAGACGTAAAAAAACAAACAATTGTGAGGTAAAACGTTGGATATTAGAGGATCCTATAGACAAGTCAAGAAACAATCTACCGCTGATAAGAACAAGTACTCTAGTTTAAAATTTTGCACTTCAACATCTTTATCACTCATTTGTTAACGTTTTGGAACAAATAAAAATACAGTCTAACAATTCATATGTTATAATCATGTATTGGACGGCAACTGAATATCAACACAATAATGTATGCAACACGTTATCCATACAATCGATCAATATTTCTTTTTTAAGTGAAAACTTCATTAGGAGCGTTTTGCACTTTTTTGTGAGAAGTAAGTTAGATTGAGCCGTCAGATCTCTGAAGTACAACGCTGGAGTCGACTAATTGAAGTGTATTAACATATGGATTAAAATATATCGGATATAAATACAGAAGTAAAAATCGGACCTGCATATTTTTAGCAAGGGAAATGTTTATCATTTCATCCTCTTAGTAATGAGCTATTATTTGTAATTTATATTTCATATTATTAATCTCGCCTTGTTTTCCTATTATCACGTGATCTAAAGCACACACCTTAGTTTTTTATTTCAAGCTAACGAAATCCCGAAATACTTTACAAACAAGTAAATGGGCATATCCATATATTTTAATTATCCGTTTCACAACCTGAAGGTCATAATTCGTTTCTTTAAAGACCCGGTATACTTCTCTAGTCTGCCCAGTTCTATCGAATTATTCATCGTAATTTTCTTCTCCACTTCCTGAATCTATCTCTTGTTGAGTTGCGCACATTTACCTCAGTTAAGGGCGACAAAAAAAAAGTTTTTTCGGTCTGTATTTCGCTGACATCTTTAGAGAGATATGATATTTTTCTTTTATCTTAACCATTTGTCTCATTTAATTGTTTCCTCGTTAGTACAGTTATTTTGTTTTATAAGTTTCTTTTTTCCTTCCAGTTAGTAACTCATAATTCTGAAGCATCCAAGCTGATATTTTCTCAAATTATAAGTTTATGTCTTTATTAGAAGACTTAAAAGTTTCCTTACTAACACAGAATAATGTTGCTATTACACATTCTTTCTAACTTAAGTAATGATTAATTTATACACGTTTTTAATATTAGAAAAATATTTTTAATGAACCAGAATAATTTGAAGAATATACACCGATATTTGTCAAGACATTTTGAAAAATATCATGTGCAATCAAAATTTTCAAGCATACTTTTACATATTAGGTTTAATGAAAGTATATTTAAAGAAATTATATTATATTAATTTAAAGAAATCACCAAAAGTGTTTTCCACAACTGTTAGTCTTTGAGACAATGTAAATTTGACCAAACCATCTGCCTGATTTTCCATTGACTAATTTTAAGCATCCACTTGTTAGGGGTTGTCAGTATGTAGAAAGCATCAATTTCAATTATATAATTCTTCAGCTTATCTTTTGTTATATTATCCATGTTATTATTTGTGTTAATGATTATTCTGGTCTGATTTAATGTATCTTCTAAATTCATTTTCTATTTCATATGTTAATTTTTGTATACATCATTCTATATTCTTATCTCTTATCAATACATCTCTTATCCATTGTAGCAATGACTATTTTTTTAAGTTACTTTACCTGATAACCAGAAAATCAGCCTAGCCAATCAAATAAATTTTCGAATATAAAGACAATTTTAGACAAAACAAAACGCAAAGGACAATTCTCTTGATGTAGAATTAAATTAGAAAAAAAATCATTTTGATTTAAAAGATTAAATGAAAAATATACTAATGGAGTTTTTTCATTATGACCATCCTTCTGTAACCTTTTCCTTGATTTATAATAATGTTGGTAAATTCTTATTATTTCATTCATGATAGGAAAAACATAAATGTCATCAGTTTAATATACCTAAATATTAAAAAAAGAGGACAGCACATACATGAAACAAAAAACTAAAAGTTATATCAAAAGATGTGTTTACTCACCTACAATATACTCGACATGTAGAATTGTTGATTCTTTTATCACTAGCATATCTTCTTCTGTCTTCAAATAAGTCTTTAATACCAGTAATACCAAGAACGAACAAAACTGGAATAACTGAAATTTCTTTTCCAAATGCATTTATCCATGGCAACCAATTTAAAATCACTATAAATATAAAATATAGATTTGCTGCTCGATGCAACTGTTCCATTAAGTTTTTCGGTATAAAAGTCAATAGAGTATATTTTGTGGTCCTTATCTTATTGTTTGGAGTGTATCCATTTGGATGAGAACTTAAAGGTGTACGAGGAGGCACTATATGATTCGGCACTACAGTTCTGGTACGATTTTCAAGCTCGGTTTTCGTTTTTTTTCTAAGAATGAAGTTTATTAATTGATCTAATTTTGATGGCTGATAATTCTGGCGAAGGGTGTAAATGGATTCAGTTCTAGAAGCTTGTCTTGTATGCCCTTTACGAGTTTCAGAAGCTTCTTTATGGCCAGGAGGAAGAATGAAATCAGTTTTGGAGCTGACTCTATTATGTCCCTTGACATACCCTAATTCTTCGGAGGTGATCTAAAAACAAATTAACTTAATGTAATTGATTATCAACAGTACTTGCCAATGGCAAAGGAAATACTTAAGACAATGTTTTTACCTGCCCATGGGAAAAAGCTCTTTGATGTCCTTTTCGAAGAGCAGAAGGACGAGATGGTGCAGGGGATATCATGGCCATTCCCCCCGCACTCACACTTCTCGTATGCCCTTTCTGAAGTGGCTCCGAATCTGCCATTCTCAATCATCTATGAAAATTAAGATAATCACAACTATAAAAATCAAGAGTATAATTTGCAAATGACACTAATAATTCTTTTTAACTTCGATAAATAACACAGTTCAATAAAATATATATTTAGATCCATTATCAAACAGAAAATTTATCTACATAACTTTATTAAAAATTAGGATAACAAACGTACCATAGGTTATATTACTTCTACAGCGAACAACTACCTTCTTCTGAGTTTTGACACAAAAGAATCATAAAGAAATAAAACACTGACAACACGAAAACTAACCACTACATAAACGTTACGGCCCACACGCAGGCTAGAACTGAACTCCACTCAGCAAATAGTTGAAATGTGGCGCTATCTATAAACAAATTAACAGATGGAAGTTGACAGTTATCATATAAATTTTATTTATAGAAAATAAACTATTTTAGAGTAATTCTAGCTTAAAAATATTTTTTAAAATTCAAAAGTATATTTAAATATTTTTATGTAAGAAAGAAACAAAAAATAAAAATCAATAGCGGAGTATACAGTATTGCGAAATTTTATTTTAAAAACTTTATATTGACAATCAAATGTCCTTTATTTTAATAAAAACTATAATTCTTACTTTTTAATAATATTATCTATCATTTTATTGTTTATGGAATTAATCTATCGATTGTATCTGAATTGCAATTGTGTTTTGAACAACTAGAGGTTGCAAGCACTGTGAGAGAAAATTGACCTACGTTTATCTCTTGTTAAGGGCGACCATAGTGTTTTCACTGCCGTTATTAGTTATTTAGTTTGTTTTGTTTCATAATGGATGAAGAATACGATGCAATCGTCTTGGGAACTGGACTTAAAGAATGTATTCTCAGTGGAATGTTATCAGTCTCCGGTAAGAAAGTATTACACATTGACCGCAACCAATATTATGGAGGTGAGTGCGCTTCCATTACTCCCTTGGAAGAATTATTCTCCAGGTTTGGAGCTCCTCCTCCTGATGAAGCATATGGAAGAGGAAGAGATTGGAATGTTGATCTAATTCCTAAATTTCTAATGGCCCATGGGCTCTTAGTGAAGTTGCTTATTCACACAGGAGTCACTAAATATTTAGAATTCAAGTCAGTTGAAGGAAGCTATGTTTACAAAGGTGGTAAAATTTCTAAGGTTCCTGTTGACCAGAAAGAAGCCCTGGCATCTGATCTGATGGGTATGTTTGAAAAAAGGAGATTTAGAAATTTCCTTATATTTGTTCAGGATATTAAAGAAGATGACCCAAAAACTTGGAAGGATCTTGATCCATTTAATACTACTACCCAACAACTTTATACCAAATTTGGTTTAGACAAAAATACTCAGGATTTTACTGGACATGCCTTGGCTCTGTACAGAGACGACGAATATCTTAATGACCCTGCAATTCAAACTATTAGAAAAATCAAGCTGTATAGCGATTCTCTTGCTCGTTATGGAAAATCACCATATTTATATCCTATGTATGGATTAGGTGAATTGCCTCAAGGTTTTGCTCGATTAAGTGCTATCTATGGAGGTACATACATGCTTGACAAACCAGTTGATGAAATTGTACTAGAACATGGGCATGTTATCGGTATTAGGTCTGGAGAAGAAATTGCTCGTTGTAAGCAAGTTTATTGCGACCCATCGTATGTTCCAGACAGAGTCAAAAAAACAGGACAAGTGATAAGGTGTATATGTTTGATGGATCATCCAATTCCTAATACTAAAGATGCTTTGTCTACCCAGATCATTATTCCTCAGAAACAAGTTAATCGTAAATCCGATATCTATGTTTCCCAAGTTAGCTATACCCATCAAGTAGCTGCAAAGGGATGGTTTATAGCTATGGTATCTACTACTGTTGAAACTGACAACCCAGAACAGGAAATAAAACCTGGACTTGATTTGCTTGGACCTATCAAAAAAACTTTTGTCACAATATCTGATTACTTCGAGGCTACTGACTTAGGTTCTGAAAGTCAGATTTTTATATCTGCTTCTTATGATGCAACCACACACTTCGAGACAACGTGTACTGATGTATTAGACATATTTAAAAGGGGCACTGGTGAAGAATTTGATTTTTCAAAAGTTAAGCATGACCTGGGAGATGAAGAGCAGTGAGATAAATTGTAAAAAGTCATGGATTTTTGGTCATTCTCTGCTGGTTTGATATCACTATTTCCTATGTAAAAAGGTCCATTTTGACTGGTGTAATTTAAAAAAAGAAAAGAAAAAATAAGGCTCAAATCAAGCCAGACCTCTTGTGGCATTAATTTTTTGATGGTTTAATCGCATTTGTTTTAGCATAGTAAGTAAGAATAGAAACTATAAATATTTATATATCAATTCTTGCATTGAAGTATATATTTAGTAATTCTATATTATCAAATTAACAGTTCCACTTCAATTGTATTAATATCAATTTAATTTTAAAAGAAAATAATTAAATTTTAACCAACTGCTTAATGAAATAGTTTGCTGATTTACATGGGCTTTTGTATGTTTTAATGTAATTATTGGACAATATATATTATTTTCTTATATATTTGAGCATTATATAGTTTCTTTCCTACAAGGTTTATTGCTATTAAAAATATTGGCATGTATATGTTGCCTAATTATTTTATATATTAGTTTTGATTATAATCATTAACTATTAGATATTTATACTGATGCTGATTCTTTAACATTATCTATGTCACTTTAAACATATCAATACTCTTCATTTATTTTCTATTCTTCATCTCTTTATTGATATAAATATGCCAATGATTAATGTTAATATTCTTTTTATAATATTATTTACAAGTATGCGTTTTGTTGAGTTAGTTTCTTATTGAAAAAATGTGCAATCCTTATAATTGAAGATACTGTTGTGTAAATGTATTGTATATAATGGATATATACCATGTCTGTCATAATTGATAAGCAAAATTTTATTTACTTGCCTAGGCTGTGGAATACTTTGCTTGAAAATCTTAGTTAAAGATATTAAATACCATTCCTTTTTTTTTATATCATTGTCATGGTTGTTTTGAATCACATTAAAGCAACTAATATATAAATATATTTTTTTTTTTTAATTTTCACTAGTTTTTCCAATCTTGATTAATATACTTATCGCTTTCAGCCAGGCCTGAATATTTAAAAACTTATGGAAATAATGTTCCGTCTTGTAATTTTTGAGCTCTAAAAATATATAACTTCTTTAAGTAGTTGTTGATGTGATTCTAAATAAAACATTTTTTAATATCAAGTTCAAATGTTCATCCAAAACTGCACCACTAAGTTGTATTACAAATATTTTTGTACTGAATATTATATTTTATGAAAATATTCTTGTTTTAAACTACACAGTAAATTATTGAATGTGTTACACTTATGTTGTATTTATAACCTCATGATTATAGGTTATTCAAAAATATAGTTATATCTTTTTTTTTATTTTGGCTTGCAGCTTTATTACTTATTGCTTTGATTCGATCTAGTGGTGTATGTGAACATAATGAGAATTGTGATTATATTGTTTTGTTTTTATTATTAAAATATAAATCACTGAGTTAGTTTTTTTGCTTTATTGGCTTCTCTTCAACTTCTTATAACAATTGATTTCTTTAGTAAAATATTGATACTGTATTTATCCTGTTACTGAAGACTATTATTGGCAAGTGTTCAATAATGGAAGGGATCAATAAGAAATAACTGATATGATTTCATTAACTTTTTTTTAATACATCATTATATTTACAATGTTTAAGATTAATGAAAAAAGGACCTATAGTACTCATATGTGATTCTGTTTGGTCTGTCTTTGATTTTAGTTATTTATGTTCATTTAAAAATATCCCTTAATGATAAGTCCCCAATTTGTTCTTGATCTGGTTATCGGTAACATACCTAGGAGTGTTTGTGGAGATAATAGTTAAACTTATGCTTTCTCCATACGACCATCAATTTCTTTTTGGCTATTGGGGTTTTTCCCTGGCCTGAGGTAAGGGCGGCGCATTAATGCCAGAGTAAAAAATCCCAAGACACCAGGATTCAAACTCATCAGGTTCCTAGATTTGTTTTGGAGTGGTGTCAAGTTTTTTGGGAACTGGGTGGATAACTACTGATTCAATAGACGGGATTTAAAGATGGGGAGGATATTGGAGAGGGATTTCTTCATGTTCTGTTCCTATATAGTTTTGGGCCTACATCTATATATTGTTTCCCTTTCACCTTGGCCTTAACCCCTTGTGGCAAGATCTTGGTTTGACATTTTAAGGAAATGGCCAAACCATCTTAGATGGGATTTTTCTATTAACGTTTGTATGGGTTAACACCAAGAAAAGATCTTACTTCAATTTTGCAGTGTCTTGATCTACCTTCTTTTACTTTGCTCAGGTCCTACTTATTCTGGAGTTGTCCTTAATATTCTGTTATTATTTTCCACGACTCAAAGTTATATAGGAATATTGGTACCAAATGGACTTTTGTACCACCTTGTGCTAATAAAGAAACAAAACGAGAGGCTAGTGGGAGGAAATATTTGATATATTACTCATAACTTACTTGTCTCATTAATTTGTTTATTTTTTATTTCATTCTTGACTTTTCTTCATGTTTTTTGTTGATACTCATTTATTCTAATTAGCTTATTTTTGGAAACGTCAGAGAGTTAAGATTTGTTCAATGGATCCGCAGATAAGGAAATTAACTCTCAGAGTGCTAAAAAAATGTTTTCTGACATGAATTTTTAAAAATTTTATTTATTTGAAAAAACGTGAGTTGAACATGCCTAGGGCTTAAAACAGACAAAAAAACTTATTTTTAAAAAGTTTCAACATCACCGGAATATTTATTGCAGGTAGTTTATTCAGTTCTTTTGGAACTAGATACATTTTCTCTAGCAACTTTTCAAGTAAAGGTTTTACAGAACTTTTATTCAAAAGTTCTATCGATTTCACTAATCATTCAAATTAAAAATTGGATTGTATTCATTGCTTCTCAAACAAACAACATTAAAATTATATGTAATTCATCTAACATAAATTATAACTAATCTCAGCCCAATTACTGTTTAATGAAAAATGAAATTGGACTTAAATAAATATAAGTTAAACTTTTACCATATATCTAGAACTTTATCACAAAAAAGTTCCTTATAATGTTTATTTTAAAAACTTTTTTTCTTTAACGTATCACAGAAACTGTTAAAACGGAACTTTTTAAAAAAGTTTCAATCCTTGGAAAATATGGCTTGATAATTCTCTATGTATTTTTTATTCACTTGAGATGTTTATTGTGTTTAATACACAAAATATTAACAACGATTTGAAAGATATAAATAAAGAAGATAATTCTCACAGTGATAGACCAAGGGTAGGGTGTTGGAGTTTTTTTTTTTTTTTCTTTTGTTAGGAGCATGGCCAGCTTTCTATATAATTGCATATTTTGTATAATTGACATCTGCTTTCTTTTAGCAGCTCTCCAAATATAGATGTGGAAATAGTTTGTTTCTTTATTATATATATATATTTTTATATATATATATATATATATATATATATATATATATATATATATATATATATATATATATATATATATATATATATATATATGGAAGTAAACTGTTCACTTTTGTGTACTTAATTTATATTTTTTAATCATGAAGTTATTTTTGATTTAAGAGTAAATATCTGGAAGAAAATACCAATGCATTGACAGGCATTTTTTTATTCTGTTGATTTAAATTTTTTATTTTTATAAAATTTAATTTGCTCTAGGATCTTTTATAATAGTACATTATTACTATAATGCAATTACATATTGGGTAATGTTAAGTATTATTATTTCGAAGAAAGTGACCTTTTAATTTAGGCTAACTTTCTTACTGGTGTTTGGATCATCACTCCAAAATAAATATCCACTTTATATTTTATGAAAGCTTTATTATAATCTTTACTTATAAGAATAATATCTTTCTTGGGCCATATCTCCTTCTGACCTACATTCAGACATGCCAGGACATCCTTTGCATATTGTTGATATTTTTTTATTTCTTTGTTATTGAATTCAGCATTTATCAAGAGCTGAAATAATTATTTTTTCATGAAAAAATAATAGGTCATGATTTTAATTTTATTTTTGTTAATGAAAAATAATTTATTTTAATCTGTTATACCCAAGTAAGTGTGTTTATAAACATTTAATTTTTTATTAAGATGAAAAAAAATTATTGTGCCCTGTTTTTGAGATTATAATAAAGATTGAATTAACTAGTTAAGTATAGAAAACATTTTATACAATTTATCTTATCATTTTTAAACTGTTTAAATTTTAATTTGATAATTAACAACTTTAATTGTGGATTGATGGTTGAAGTGATCAGTAAAAATAAATAATTGTATTTATTTTACTATTTTATTTAGACTGATCACCCCAACCATCCTTCTGTAAAATAAGATTGCCATGTATTCACATTAATATGAAGAACAAAATATAAAATTTAATCTTTAAAAATATTTCAGTAACTTAAAAGTGCAACGAATATTTTATTTTTGATTGGAAAATGTATCTGTTATTAATTTTTTTTCTGATAAAAATATCTCAGTCTTGTTTGCAAATTAATTATTTAATTATATATGTGATTCAAATAAATAAGATCTGTCTTTAACCGACGATAATTGGCTTTAGTACATAACACTTCTAGAAAAGCTTGCTTTTTCAACCTTAAGGTATCTTAGTAGATTGTGTAATCAGACTGCTCCAACTGCCTAATTTATTATTTAGGATATGGTGGGGTTCATCAAAATAAAACAAAAAATAATTAAGATTTGTTTATGCATTCTGACTTAACCCTATGGAGGTTTTTAGTTTCTCTATTTGGTTTTTTTCCATTACCAATTACAAAGCCTGTATAGTGGACTAGTGAAAAATTTTCTCTCTCTCTCTTTCTCAATGAAAATCTCCTCTCTGACCGGCTTTTAAAAATATCTCTAATTTATTATAATAAAAAACCTGTACCACTACAACCCATGATGGGTCTTGCGTTCAGTACATTGTAAGTAATTCTGTTTCTTGGTCAACAGTTGTGAAAAGAGGTGATTTGACCGAGATCACGCTCAACCGCCAGGTTTTTTCCCTTTAATTATTTAGTTAAGGGTGCCCACTTTATAGAGGCTGGGTGTGCCCTTATTATGATCTATTAAAAGACTGTTTAAGAAAATTTTTTTTTAATATTGTAAACAATTTTTTGGAGGTCTACTTCTATACCCCAGCCCAAAAACCAACTACTCGCCACAACAAAAACCATTGTCCCTCTTCTCTTTGGGATTTTCTTGGAAAACTACAGAGCAGCCATTTTCTTTTCTCTGCACTAGTAGAACTAGATTAGCTTGCCTTTAATTGTTAAACATTAATTTATTAAACCCTTTTTACTCTTATATATAATATTATAATATATAATTATAATATATTATTAAATATTATATATAATATATATTATACATATATATATAAATTAAGAAAGAGATATCTTCATTAAAAATAAAATAGGACACAACATAATATGTTCACTAAAATGACACCATTTCTATTATATATCAAACATAGTTTAAACATTTCCTCAAAATTCTTAATAATTTAAAGGTTAAGAAATGTTAATGAATGAATTTTGATCTTGACAACATATCCTTAGAATTTATTCCCAGAACATATTGATTATCATCAAATGTTTAACAAACTTTGACCACTTAATTGTTTTTTTTTTATTATGGTAGACATAAATAATAAGAAAAGCAAAATAAAGAAATACGATATATGAAGAATGGTATTTATTTCTTTTTTTATATTTTTGATGGTTTAAAATTAATTACAGGTACAACAGAAAAGTAAAATGTTAATGAAATAAATAGAAATGATAAAGGGTGTTACTGATATTCTTTTAGTTCTAGTCTTGAAAATGAGCAAGAGTTTCTCAATAATCAGTTCTTTGTGCAGTCGAGAATTGCTTTTTTGAAATCAAAGATTTACTTTTTTTTCTTCCCAGCCTCTTCTGCTGCTTCAATAGTTGCTTTATGTAAAAGTTTATGTTTAATAATAAGCCATCCTATCTTGCTAATGGTTTCATTATATTCGGTAGAGAATGGTTTTAAAGGTGTGGAACTACCTTTTCCTGAAAATTAAAACAATAATTATTTATATCGTCGGTTCATTGGAAAAGGTCCCTAAGTACAATTTTGATAGAGGTGAACTTTCAAGAGCGTTTTTCATTAATCTCAACCTTATTTATTAGTTTAAAAACACAGTAAGTATACTAAAATTACACAAATCTTTTTATATATCAAATATGATTACCACAATTTCTGATTTCACAAACTGAAAATTCATTAAAATTCAAAGTTAATTCAAGGTTATGATATGTCACTTAATGACTTTTTGTTATTAACCGACGATATGTATGTTTATGTAGATATGAATGGCTAATTCTTTTGAAGAATGGAAAATCCGATTTTTAGATTTGAAAATTGTATAAATATCGAAACAACTGAGGTGATTATGTTCCATCAGTTGTGTATTTTGTTTTTGTGAACCAGTTTATAACAATCTAAATAAACTTGAATTGTTATTAATTAATTTCAAATATGTAAAAATTGGCGGTTTGGATTAGAAAATATGACAGATGCTTTAACTTGATAATTAAAATTACAGGATAGTCTATAATTTTTAAATTTTAATCAATTTGAATTTGGGAAGAATATTGGAGAAATAGAAGAAAAAAAGTGATGAATTTCCATAAGGACGAAGATCTTGTGTTGCTCCACACACTCAGAGTTTCCTCCGACACAGCAGAACATGCTGTGTTGACCTGCAAAAAAATTTTACCAACACCAAGTCTGGTTGTACAGGAAAATTGGGTTATACAATCTTGGAAGCGTGAGGAGATAAATGGAATTGGACAACATACTTCAACTTATGGAGAGAGCACCCAGCAGAGGAAGGCAAAGAATTGGCACTCCAAAGGCCAACAGACCCATAGGCGTAAAGAAGAAGGTTGATAGTGACCAAAGATTAAAAAAAAAAAAGCTGCACCTCATCAGAAGCCTCGTACCAAGCTGCACCACAAAATCCTGTATGCCAGTAATGGCTAGGTAGGATGAAAAGAAGAAGAAATGTATATAAACAGAGAGTGAGTATTTTGGGAATGAACACAGGATTTAAATTTAAGAAGATGAAAGATTCAGGATAGATGGCGAGATTGGATAACTTCGTAAAAGAAGAATGCCTAGAAATACAAAAGCAGGAAGGGTAAAACCACTTCAACTCTCCTTAAAATTGTGAGACAAAAGCATCTCTTTGAAATCCCAAGTTCAATTGTGCAAAGGAATTAATTAAATGTTTTCCTTTTAGATCCACCGAGCCAATCCTGTATACCATAAAATAATAAACAAAATGAATATTACTAGGTTTGGATGAATTGCTTTTATGAAAATTAAATAGGATATGGACAAGTATAGCATTCTGAACACCTACCGTGTAACATATGTAGATATTTTCTAATATTATAAATAAGCAAACCAAAATAAACTTTTACCAGATAACTTAGGCTTGTCTTGATCTTCTTCATCTGTTTTCTTCTTCTTCTTTTTCTCTTTTGGAAACTGGGGAATTTTCGAGATAGGTGCTGGTTTCCAAGCGATTCTCCTTACTGGAACTTCTTTGGCACATTGGCAGGGTGAGAATGAAAGACCTTTGGCACATTTACATTTCGGTGCTGGTATACCTTCTGGTAAACAGATATCAGGATCTTTAGCCTTGTCAGGAATTTCTTGTTGTTCTCCTTGTTCAGTAACTTTACTAATATTAGGATCATGAGGTTCCTCTGCATGCTTAACAACATCCATAAGAGTAGAGTAATCATCTGGTGAAAATAAAATAAAATAAAGCTTCCTTTGTAATTTTATGTTCCAGATTTTAAAACATCATCAAGAATAAATGTAATTACTAATAATTATTTAAGATTCTGTTTTGATATGAAATGACATTGGATAGAAAGTAATGAAACATAATAAGAAACATTTTTCATTGCAACTTAAAAAGGACAAATAAGCAGTCAAGTTTATGATTAATATATTATTTAAAAAAGGAGAAAAAAAAAAGTTAATGGACAGTTCATCTGAAACATTAAAAAGTTGTACATAAATAAAAATTGGAATTTTGTGAATGAAAGTGAAAATGGGCAAAATGCATTTTCATCCATTTTTTCACATTACTGAAAAAATTCCCAAATTTGATATGTGTCATTTTGAAAGAAATCTCTTCATATATATAATTTAGGCAAAACAGTGTTGCTCAAGCTCTTGACAGTGCTGATATTAAATCTTACAAGTGATATAGGTGTTAAGAGAAACTCACCTTCTCTACTATATTCAATTTGGTAAGTCGTTTTATATTTTTCACTCATTATACGCTTGGCCATATCATCAGTGGTTGTAAACTTCATAATGTTGTATAAATATGGGTATTTTCTGTATAACTGCAAAAGTTTATTGAGTAAAATCATATTTTTTAATAACGAACTATGTTATATAGATAGATAGAAGATAGATAGAAAAAAAAACTTTATTCTGGGACTAAGTCCCTTCAGAATAACAATAATGTACAAAATAATAGAATACTACTGGCCTGAACGTTGAAACAATAAATAAAATAACATAAAAAGTAAAGAAAACCTTAGATGCACAAGCTATATACAATACAGATAAAACTATGTACAGAGCATTTAAAATTATGAACAAAACAATTAAAACTATGAACGAATCACTTGAACTATGAACAAAATTATATTTAAGGGTTGAACAACATAAACATACACTTTGAGAAATGAAGAACGAAAAAGAGATACAATGAGTTCATTTCATAAAAAAAAAAAAAAAAAAAAAAAAAAAAAAAAAAAAAAAAAAACTTGAATATATATATAAAAATAAACAGTTAATTATAATTGAATAAAAAAAAAAATGTATGTATTGAAATTCCTACGTCGATAATAGGAAATGCATGTACTATCTCTTACCAAGTGTTATGATTATATGATTGCTACACAATACATATATAATATTAATAGTTAGCTGGTATCTAACTATTTTTGGAACAGGAATTGGAATAGGAGGTTTTTGAATGTGTACAGGGAAGGGGCATGTCGAATTTTGATCGGGAGGGAATTCCAAAAGTTGACAGAGCGGGCTATAAAGGAATTTTGGAATGAGGCATATCTATGAGAAGGGATGTATAGGTCAGAGGGTTGGGATCTTGTAGTGAGGGAATGGATTGAGGACTTAAATTGGAGAAGGTTGTAGGCATAAGAAGGACGATGATCGGTAATGATTTGATAACGGAAAGTGCCTAGGAAATATTGTCTTCTTAAGGAGGGGAAGAGCCACCCTAACTCAGTGTAGTGGTGGGAGACACGGGAGCGTCTCGGGGTCCCAATTACAAATCTTACGAAGCTATTCATAAGTCTTTTGAGTCTATCACGGAGTTCCACCGAGAGGCCATCGTACACCACACAGCTGTAGTCAAAGTGGGGAAAGATGAGAGAGGAAACTAGGAGTCTATGGGTATTTTGGGGTAGAAGATGGCGGAAGTGATGGAATAGTTTGAGGGTAGAAATTGCACGGTGGGATATATGAGAGATATGGTGATTCCAGGAAAGGGTTTGATCTATGAGAAAGCCTAAATTTTTAACAAAGGGATAGAAGGTGATGGGGTGGTTGTTTATATAGAGTGAGAGAAAGTTGGTGTGGGATCTAAGGATGGGCTTGGAACCAATGAGAATGGCCTAAGTTTTGGCAGCATTAAGCCTTAATCCATTATATATAGATATAAGATCAGTGAATCTTATGTTAATAATTATTAATGTTCATGTAGTTACTGATAAGTGATAGTTGTAGATAGATAGGCAACAACTTTATTCTGAGACAAAGTCTCTTTAGAATTACAAAATAGTACAAAATTAAAAGGTTACATCTGGCTTGTAATAAAAACAAAAATTAACAGGAAAGATAAAAAGTAAAGAAAATATTCTATATACACAAATAAACCTATATACAAAACATTCAAAACTAAAACAAGATACTTAAAGCTATTCGTTAAAATAAGCTTTATGTTTCTGCAAAGAAAAAAGAAAGCCACAATCCGATAGTATAAAATTTCTGAATTTTTAAATGATGAATAATATGTATACATCATCATCATTTCTTTACATAACTAAAGAAACAAATTTGATTTTATAAAAAAACAGCAAATCAAAACTTGGAAAATCTTATAATATTCACAACAAAGAATAGTACTAACATTTGATGATGAATGACATGAAATAAATGTATAATGCCAAAAGGTTAGCAGGTATTGGAATAGGGGAGGCGCCGTATGAATGTACATATGATGGTGGAATGCCGAATTTTGATAGGGAAGGAATTCCAGATATTGAAAGAGCAAGCAATAAAGGAGTTTTGGAATGAGGCAGATCAGTGAGAAGGGATGTAAAGGTAAGAAGCTCGAGAGCACACGTATGATGAGGTAAAAGATTGCGAAAGAGATGGAATAAGTTACAGATGTGAGAAATATGGTGATTTGAGAAGAGGGTTTGATCAATGGAAAATCCTAAATTTTTAACAGAGGAGTAGAAGGAGATTGGCTAGTCATTGAGGAGTAGTACGGAATTTAAGAATGAGCTTGGAACCAATGACAATAACCCGAGTTTTGGCCTTTATAGTTGCACCTGTTATATAAAAGACTTGTACTACACAGCAGAAGGAATTCCCTAAAAAAAACATTGGTTTCTACATCAATGAAACCACAATATAGACTGAGGGTATAATTCATGACTTCAATGTGAATTTACCATAGATGATAAATTTTTTAGGTTAATTAATTTACATTTATTTCATTGCAAACTCACTTTACTAATATCAATCTTTCCAACTATTAAATATATTTTATAAGTGTTTATCCCAGCAATCAAAGTTAAGTTGTTGACCAAAACTTTCACTAATCAATCACATTTAACTAATTATAACACTTGTTATAAACCAATACTATACCTTTTGAAGATAAGCATTTGGTTGATCATATTTTGATGCTTCACCCTGAGGAGGTGCGCCGCTCTGGGCCGGCGGTACTGTACCAGGCTGCACATCAGATTGCACCATTGGTTTCCTTGTTTTCATCGTATGTGGGTCTGCATCCCTGAGTTGTAATTCCCTCATTTTTTGATCATTTCCAGATTTCTTACTATAAAAGTACTTTTGATAAACAAAAGTCTAAATTGTGGATAATAATAAATAAAATAAATACTTACGCATCGGCTGCAGTAATAGCCACTGGCCATTTATAATCTTTACTGTATGTAGTTAGGAAGTAATCCATTTTGACAGATCCTTTCGACTGTCTTGTAGGAAGTGTTCTCACTTTTCCATACTACTGCTAACAACTAGAAACTGTGATATGAAAATATCAATCTATGTATGTTTCTTTCCTCATTTCATGATTTTGTTCATTTTATTTATAATATTTTTTGAAAAAGAACAATAATTTTTAAATACATTTATATTTTAATTTTGAAGGGGTGAGTAAAATTTTAAGACTAGTTTCCTTGGTGATATGGAATCATATGGTATGCTACACATTTTTGATGGATAGATATAAAATAGGGAACACATTTTATTCTGGGACTAAGTTCCTTTAGATTAACAAACATATACAAATAAACAGAAAATAAATCATAATTATATTAAAAAACAATTTTTAGAAGCATTTTAATATAAATATCAATATGTGTATCTCAATATATTATTCAATACATATTATTTTTTTCATTAATTCAAATCAAATACAATTGAATAATTTGAGAGAAAATTTCTCCACACAATTACTATAGTGGTATAGGATTAGAGTATTAATGTATTAAAGCGTGCAGTAGAAGGACCAACTACAGAAATTTTTCAGTCTCTATTTCATGATATAAAGGCAAGAAGATTAAGATGGGTGTAACTAGTAGCTCAAAGCAGAGCATTCTCAAAGCAAAATGATTACCGCAGTACTTGGCAAGAGACTATGTGTGCAGCCAAAACCCGAATGGATAAATAGAATCAACCAAGATGTTGCAGACTATAGCAAACTATAGAACAGTTATACAAGACAGGCAGAGGTGGAGAAAAGGAGGCTAAGATGCACAAGATGGGTGAAGATAAAAAAAAAGTTATCTACTTATGGTTCTTTTTCCATATTTAAGAGTAGATATAGGCAACAACTTTAGGGAGAACCCTTTACTGTATCTACATAGAGGATGAGTTTACTTTTAAAGGGTTATTTTATTTTAATAATATAAAATATATATAAATGTTGATAGATTAGGGAAAGAAGCTTAAACAATTCTTTTATACACTAAGTTTTTTATGTAAGACAGTTGTTACATGAAATCTCTGTACTGTATTGAAATGATTTTTGTATTTTATCATTTTAAACACAGTTAAAGTTAATTAAAATCTAGTGAAAACAAATTTTACAAAGACATTCAGTAATAAAATCTCAAAATAAAAACTGAAAATCTAATGATGTGGCATTGTTCATAAGATATTTAAGTTGTATTTAAATGATTAAATACTATGAAGAATAGTTTGCCCTGAATTTTAAATACTAGGGTAAATAAAGCAAATTGAAAAATTCTTTCAAATATGAATCATCTCAAAATTTATTGTAATTTATAGTTTTATTCATTTCAATTATTTCTCCTGTATTCATGAGGAAGAGGTTTAACCTCACCATAAAAAGCATAGTTCATGATTTCATCTCCAGGCCCACTTATGTTTTCTTCATATTCACTTTTACCTGTTTTTATATTTAATAATCTTTGTTCTTCCTCTAAAAAAAAAAAATAAAGAAATTAATAAAATATACATAACTAAAAAAATTTACCTAATACAAGAAAATATATTTTATTTTAAAAATTTTGAAACTAGGCTAGTTATTTAGAAATGCTTCAAACAACAAACACTTTCCCAATTAGAAAATAATGTGAATCACTTCAAACAGGAGCCAATACAAAATCAGTGATAGGATTCAGATGTAGGAAGAGAGGAACCACTGCAAACAAGAAGGGAATAAAATAAAATTATCATAGGATTCAAGATTACCATTGAAGGATCCATCAAATGGTAGTTTAATTCGAGTTTGTAAAAAGTTGAATGTTCTCTGAAGGTCTGAGCTGGATTATCTGAATTCTAATAATGGTGTAAGAAATGCATAGTTCCATTGGATCATGTGGAATAAAGAACTATGGGATAAATCCAAGTACATTTGTTTTTTAAATAAAGGAGTTCAGATTTATCTTCCTGAAGAAGAAGGTACCATTATTCATAAATAATGCTAATGATTTAGACACTGTCTTCTGATGATATTTTTTTCTTTTTCTCGTTTTACCGGCTATACAGAGTTTTTCTGGAGCAGGGGAGATGACAGAAGATTAATGCCAGAGTTATAGTCTCCCTCGCAACGGGGGATTCGAACTTGTAATCTTTGGTTAATCAGGTTGTTCCGGGAAACTAGTGTTTTACAAAACGCGTTAGCCCGCTCGGCCACCCCGCCCCCTTTCTTACCTTATCAGACGATTTGTCCTACAAGTAAAATAAAACTAAATAGTTTTATATTAATCAATGATTTGAGCAGGGGTACCCATTTTCTCCCAAGAACGAAGGCGCCTCTTCCCCCTCTTTTACACTACCATGAAAATTAATTATTCTCTACTCAAGGCACAAATAAAAGCAAAATTATATAAATTGTAATTAGTTTTTCTTATTATTTATAACCTTACCCTGCCTTAATAGACAATACGGGTATTGTTGCAATTAGGAATGCATTCCTGCGTAACAACACACTGCTGCTGCTTGTAAAACAATTAAGAATTACATTTTTCTTGAGCTTTGCACGCAGCTCGCTCATCTTTCGTTAGGTTTATGCACCGTATTTTTTGCCCTTCCTCCAGTGGTCCGTTGCTTGGTTTGAAAGTAATCCCAAATTAAAATCCACTTCAATATTGAAAAAAAAAACAAGTATAACCTCGTACACTAGCGGATTCAGGATTTAATTTTGGGGGAGGCTTGAGCCCGAAACCTTTTTTTTTTCATAAAAATAACGATAATTACTTTGGAAAAACAGAAAGAAACTAACTACCTATATGAAATGGTATTTAAGTTATTCCTAAAGTACTTTTAAATGTGATTACACGAACAATAATACTTTAAGAGGTATTTTTAAAATTTTTCCCCCATAAAACATGGTTATATTTTTCCATTTTGGAGGGGGGGGGGCTTCAGCCCGAAAGCTCCCCCCCTCTCTAGATCCGCCCGTGACCCCGTAAATGTGTGTTCCCCCTTAAAAATCTTGATGGTGCTACATACGCCAAGGAACCCCTTCCTGAGTTTAAGTATGAAAGAATCTATACAAAAATGAAAAGGCCTGAATTTTCATTTATTTAAGATTCATGTTAACGCTAAAAAGTTCGAAATCATGATATTCGCAGATTTCGAAGTCCAGCGGTTGTTGTCATTTCATAAGTAAATTATGACAAAGAAGAACCAGCACAACTCTAGAAGTGATTGGTTGGAGATTTAAAATTTATCAAAGTCTTGTGAGTTCTCTTGCACTTTATTATAAATAAGGAAAATAGGCTCCATAGTATTTTTGGGAGGAACACTGCAAGGAAACGAATGGCGGTGTAAAGCAGATATTGAACTATACGAATTTAAAAAAAAGCCTATAATCTCCCATTAAATCAGGCAGGACTTTTGGGGAATATATTATCCCCAAAACAGACATTATCAATGGGATCATATACAAGAAGTCTACTCATCCAGATATTTATAACCTATTTATTTAATCTAGGGTCTCAGATCAACATCTTTCTCAAGCGCATAAGATTGAAATACCAAAAATCAATACGACCAGGCCTTTTAGAATGTGGTATTTGACGTAGAAAATTTCGGCAAAACTTAAAGCAATCGACGAGTTGTAGGGTTTTCAGCATTCAGAGAAGTGTTCAGAATCTCCTGTGCCGTAGTTAATCTATCATCGTTATTGTTTGAAGAGCATTATACCGGGCTGAAAATCCAAATACAGCAAAAATGTGGACCAAATTTCTAGCAGGACATTCTGTGGAATTTTAGTGAATAAAGATATTGTAAACAATTCTCGCATTTTATTCCCAGAAGAAAGCAAGGTGATTAAATTCATAAACAAATAAGAGAATTTCTATTTTTCTCATTGAAGACCCACCGAGGTAACACTATAAAAAATTTATATTTTACACAATAAAAATGATTTTTTGGTTGTGAACCTCCAACATAATTCAAATTACTTTCTATATTTTCAGCTTAATTTAATACTTTAAACTTACTGCTTAATCCCAGTTCAGTTTCAGGAGGTTGGAAAAGTTTAGCAGGTTTTACGTTCCAAGGAACTATTTTTTTCCATTCCCTGTAACTTCTTCTTTGGGTAGTCCTAGGAATGGGTCCCCAGTCAGGTGGTAACTTGATTCTCTGCCTTAATCTAGAGTACTTGGATTCATAAGATTCTCCTGGAGTTTTAAAAAGAAATATATAAGAACCCAAAAATTAATAAGTTAAACAAAATTAATTGAATGAAATTAATATTAAAATAAAATGATTTATTATCCGACGTAAACGGATTGTATTTGTTTTCCTCTCTTCTCTAAATGTGTTTTTCTACTCTTAAGAAACGGATCATTCGTCTAAATTTAGTTTGGAATCAAATTATTTTGCTTGTTTTTAAGGTCCAACTTTTGATAGTATACATATATATATATATATATATATATATATATATATATATATATATATATATATATATATATATATATATATATATATATATATATATATATATATATATATATATATACATATCAATATACATGTATATGTATACTATTTATTTTTTTTTTTTTTTTTTTTTGGTACTACAGACCAAGAAGATCTTTGGCCGCGAGATATGGTCTCCTTACAGACGTGTGATACTTGCGGGAGCTAAGATAGCCTGGAGGGGGTCACCCACCTCACGTTGCTACGAACCATTGTTTCCATGGTGGGCAGGCCACCGTAGCTCCATAGCCGATCTCTTTGGGGCCAATCTGGCAATGTCCTTCCCACCGACTTTCTCGGGTCTATATCCATGGATTATGGCTGCTCGGAGTCAGCAGGCGCACGAGGACCTATATTTCTTTTCCCGAAACAGACCGTCCATGGACCGAAACTTAGGGGGGCTATTAACATGCTGGTAAACCACATCCCGATTCCCGATTTAAGTACACGGGGTAGGGTCATCAGTCCTACGCCCGGTCGGTGTGAGTTGCCTCCAGTAGCCTGACGGGCCTCACATACCCGGGTGGGGGAAGACTAGGACAGCATGGCTTTCCCTGGTGGACGGTCACCCATCCAAGTACTAACCACGCTCGACGTTGCTTAACTTTGAGTACCTATTGCAAGCGCCTTAGCCCGTACGGCTATATATCGGATCAAAATTCGAGTAAATACAACAAAAGATTATTGCATTGGACTCTGTGTTCAAATCGCCAAGGAAGGTCGTTTTATTTGAAATTATCTTTTACATAATCAACTATAAGTTGTTTAATATGTGTTTACTCTTTTGGGATAGTTTATGAACTCAGCGCTGAGCTCACTCTTTATAGCATCGGAAATCCATCAGATTGTTAAGCTCAGTGATGGAAACATCGATTAATTCAACGCGTTTCTTTAGTTCTCATTGATTTACGGATATCCCAGAGGTTCCATCGATTTTCGGAATTGATGGATCTAATCCTCTTTCTAACCTCTGTTGTTATATCTCAAGTTATTTTCGATATTTATATTCAGTGCACGTTCTATCTGTTTATTTCTATTTTGAAATACAATCGGTACTTATTGTCTAACATTTTTTGTTTTTCGTGCGTTTTTTAACCTTTCAGGAATATTAATCTTCTGCTTAAATCCAACAAATTGTTCCTAAATTCATCGTAGATCGTTGTCCAACCCCACTTTTATATTTTTTTTTTCTGATCTTTCTTGTGAAATACACTTAGTTTTTAGCGTTAGCTGAAAAGGTAAAATTCAAAATAAAGACTCAATCATGAATTTGATTGCAGGTAAGGCTTATTGACAAAAATGCCTTAAGGGGACCCTACACGGTCATTCGGAATTGCACTAATGACGTTCCGAATTATCGTGTAAGGTAGTGAATGAAGTACTGATGGTGGTGCGCTGCGGATTTCCGAACATCCGGATATCAAAGGTTCATTCACGAGAAGTGATAGGTTAGGTTACCTAGGTCTCACAACCATTATAAATTTCTGATTTTCATTATATGTAAATAGTTAAATAATTTTTCATATCCCTTGTTTATAATTTTAAACCATTTTCAACTATTTCTTTTTAATAGTCAAGTGGGTAACAAATTAAAAAAAAAAATGAGGAAACTTCACAATTTACTTTAGGAAAAAAAAACTTTAACGTTGTGTATATTTATCAGTTCTTTTCCCATTTTCCTCAACAAATTTATTATTTTCGCTATACCTTTTCTTAATTTTTGTAAGTAGTAGACTTATATTTTACTATCTTTTGTCAATACTATTTTCTATGAGACTAACCTTACTACTAGATAGGTTAGTTTACCTAGGTCTCGTTATTAAGTAAATAATTTCATAAAAGTAAATAGTTGTTAATATCCCTAGTCTATATTATTATTAACGATTTTCAACTATTTTTTCTTTAAAAAGTCAAGTAGACAATAAATTGGAGAGAAAAAAAAGTGGAAACTTCACATAAGTAATGATCAGTAATGATTGAACGTGTAAGGGTCTTCATGATCAAAGCGATAGCGGGCAATCTTGGAACTTCTTGTGGCGTTCATTCATGAATTACCGTGTAGGGTCCCCTTTAGAGAAATAATACACAAAGATTATATGAGCCAGTGCCGGCCTTAGACATCGGCATCCCTGGACAATGATGTATTCTCCCTCCTCCCCCCTAAAAAAAATTAATTTATTTCTTAAACTGTTTTATATTATGTAATATTTGAATTTTATTTCTTTGTTATAATAGCAACTTATAAGTTACTTTATTAATAGGTTAAAATTAATTATTTTAATACATTGTTTTTTTTCAGCTGGCATTGATATAAGCTTTCTCTCGGCGATAATACTAGACTGTTATGGGATGTGAATCATAATTTTTATCCCACTTCTATATTATACATAGGGCAGTCGCGTGGGAGGGGCGCCACGAATTTGGAACAAAACATAAAGAATGCATAATGCTTTTGAAAAGTCTTATTTCTATCAGCTTTTTAATTCATTTCTTTTAATGTTGCTTAGATCATCATACACGACTAGCGGCAAAACAATGTCTTATCAAAGTTCCACTTGTTGTTAGATTACAAATTACAAGCTGACTAGAGATTTATTGGTCATAAATGGAAGAGAAAAAGTATTGTAAAATACAATAAATATAACCCGTAAACATGAGACGTAAGGGGGAGAGTCTGATATAATTCCGCTCCGGGCGCCAAAAACTCACGCGACGGCCCTGATTATACATACCACCTTTGTGATAATATGCATTCAAATTGGTAGATATCATTACATTATTTACCTTCATTCGAGTAATCGATCTGGTAGATTGATTTGTCTGACAATTTATATTCTTTTGTGATCTTTGATTGATCAACCGTTTCAGGTAGAGCAACTTTCTTCAGGAATGGATGTTTTTCTGTCACCTAAAGTTTTAAAATTTTTAATTTGTATTACATCATAATTACTTAAATGGCCTTTGTTGGGTTTTGTAATTCATTACTATGCCTAAAGTCGTAAATGAATACCTTAACTCAACTTTTCATAGTTATTCATGTATGTAAGAATGATTTTTTTTTTTTTTTAATATGTATGTGTTCTTTTTATTCATTTATTTTTAGGTTATTTTATTCTTATTTATTGTATGTATGTTATTTTTCTGTATAATTTATTTTATTTACTGTACATAGAGCGTGAATGTGATCTGTGAACACTATTATAAATGTCCTTGAGACAGATTGTAATATTTTTCAATAAATAAGATTAAATAAAAAAATAACTGACCAAAGTTTATCATCCAAATCAAATAAATATTGTAAAAAAGTTACAATATTTTTCAAAACTAATTTTGAAATAAAATCGTAATAACATACTCTTTTATAAACATCATCTGCCTTTTCCCATTCCGTTTCAGCAAGAATTTTTGAGTCAGGTAAAAGAGGATCAAGAAAAGGGCCCGCTACTATATCAGTGAAATCTGGTTTAAATATAATAAGATCTGGCCTAAAATGAATAAATATGAAATAATATCAATTCGATAAAATCAATGAAACATTTTTCATTATTTGTCTTTATGTAAAGTTGCTATATATTTAAAATTTTTTAATTAATGTACAACCTTAGGTAGAGGAAAAGTGAAATAACAAGTTGAGTATATTTTAAGAATGCAAACTCGATATTCTAGTACTAACACGCTCGATTTTCAATTGGATACCTGTACACAAATATCTACTTAAAGCTTACGACTGACTTGAGATTTGAATGATTTTCAATTATACAAGCATGACCAATATTTACTAAAGATTACTTCATCAGACTTGTAAAAGGTAACTAGTTTAAATGCAATATGCCTCCCAACTAAAGGAAGGAGATCGGGCCAGGATCACGCTCAACCGCCAGGTTTTCCCCCTTAATCAATTATTTAATTAAGGGTAACCACTTTGTAGAGGCTGAGTGTGCCCCAGCAGGGTCTCCCTACCTCACGGCCAATGAAACAGAATAAATAATAAATAAATAAATAGCAAATAGCAGAAAATAAATTTTCTGCTGAGCCCGGATTCGAACCTGGGACCTTGGATGCTTTGTGCTCAACCACTGAGCTACTCAGCTCCCTTGATCCCGTATAACTTGATATTGAAAAAGGGAGACTACAATGAATGAATGAATAAAAAATAATTTAATTCTGGGACTACAATCCCTAAGAATAATAACAGAATTACATATTTATGAGTCTTAGTCTGGCTTATAAAAATAAAATGATGCCTAATTAACTGTTGATTGTTATTGCAATTGTGCAGTTGATTGAAATTAGACAGTATACAGATGCAAGTAATTTTAGATGTTTACGAAAGTTTGAATGTGGAGTAGGTTGTGGAATGGAACAGTTGTTTGAAGGAATTTGTGGTGTTTGGAAGTAGAAAGAGAGTTCCATAAGGAGACAGCACGAATGAAGGATTTGCTGCAGGAAGTAGTTTTATGGGAGAGGATATATAAATCTATAGGTTGAGACCTGGTATTAAGAGATTGGATACAGTAACATGGAGTAAGGAGTTTCAGGATGTAGGGAGGATTTTTGGTTCCGAGGACTTGGAAATACAATGTGATCTTTTAGCTATTAGTTGTAGCAGTCTTTTTATATGTCCTGGGTCTTCATTAACTTGGTAGGGTTGAGTTAAACTTCCTGAGGACATCAGCCATATTGGAATAAGTGTCATTCCCTATAACTCTCAACTCAAATAATTTTATGGGTTAAATATTTTTTTTATTTCCGAAAATAAGATTAATTAAAAAAAACACTTTTAGAATAGAATTCAGAGTTCTTTTTGAAAATTGAAATTCAGTAATTGTTAATATGTTTTAGTTTTAATTGATTATAAATTAAACAGAAAACATATTTAAGAAATATAATTAATTATAACTGGAGGTAAGTAGTTAAAATGCATAAAACTTTACACAAACTCATGATTCAATGTTTGTTTTCTGAGTTTACGAGAAGTATGTAAATCAGAAATTCAGAATGTTGGTGATGGACAAGCTGGATATTAAAATTAATATTATAAATATTTTTTAAAAAATTTCAACAATTATAATTAATAATATTTACTTGTGATTTTATTCTTACTATTACCTTTTTACAGAAACATTTATATAACTTTCAGCATATACAGACTTAGGGGCATCAGGATTATTTTTCCTCTTAACTCCAAAATATAATGCTTCTTCTTCTTCTTCCATCCTTATTAAACAATCTTATGTTATCTCACATAAGAATGCTTACAAAAACAAAAGAGATACAGGAAAAGTGACGAAGCAACAATAACTTGTTCAGGAATGTAGACAATTTTAATTAAAATAAAATCATTAATATCACATGATAATTGTAACAACAATGAGTGTTAAAAATATACAAATATAATTAAATTTGAAAAAAAGTCTTGATAAATAATAACCATTTTAATGGTTTTCTTTATTTTTCTTATAATTTTTAACTGTTTTCTGAAATCTTCCAAGCTCCGATTCTATACCTAAACCATATCAGAATGAGGTCTCTTCCCATTTGAAGCCAGCTAAAAATTGGCACAATCTTGGAACCTAAATGAAAATACAAAATTACAAATCAACACAAAAATAGTATCTTTTTTTAATAGAATAAATTCTGGAAAACTTCTTAAAATATATTTATTTAATGAGGTTGCAGACAGACATATTGAAAAAAAAAAAAATCAGCGAAGGGAAGAAACGATAGATTTCCATAAAATTATGATTAGAAAAAAAAACACATACTTCTAGACTAGAAACCATCTAAACACAGTTGAAAATATTTTAAACTTTCTTGAGGAGTGGAGAGAGCTAAGTAGGCTAATAGGTGTGCACAGCACGGCACGTTGACCAGCAACCTGATAAGCGAAAGCCTTTTATTTTTTTTGGGGGGTCCTCCCATTTTTCGCCGTTAAGACTATACAGGGTTTTCCCGGGCGTGTGGGCTGGGATGTAAAAGCCTCCCTCGCCATGCTAACTCGTGACTTTTTTTATATCAGGTTACTGGGCAATGGTGGTGCTGTGCACACACGTTAGCCCATTCGGCTACCCCGGCCCAATGATAGCAGAAGTTATACGGAATAAAATAATCACGAGTTCGCGTCCTGGTGTCAGTGTGGCATTAATCCCACGGCCTCACTCCTTAGCCCCAGAATACCCCATCAATATAGCCTAATAGGCAAGGAAGGGGAGAATGAAAAAAATAAATTTTCTTTCAACAAGTCAGATTTAGGATTTCAATAGCTTAAAACCTTAATAGTGCAACACAGACCATGTTGCGAAAACTGTGTGTTATAAACCCATCTAGTAGTTTTAGGTGTTAGTGGTTGTAAACGAAAAACGGTGTGTCCTTTTATATTATATCATGATACAATCAATTATATCTTGTGCCACCATAATATCATGACAAAATATATTACATCTGATATAAGAAATAGACAGCTTTATGTATTTACCATCAATCTCAGTCCAATTTACTGCAATTTCAGAAGTTGGTATTTTATATAGCTCAGCTATATATAGAAGTTCAACATCAAATGCCCTAAAAAAATATATGAACATAAATGCTACTCAATATCAAATTGTGAGACTTATCCTCTAATTATTTGGCAAGCGTTAACATAAATGAATACAGTGCAAAATAGTATTAGAAATATGATATAAAAATCATTATGATAAATTCTAATCTTACCATCTTTCAACATGAATTTTGGAGAAGAGGAATTTCGCAGTTTTGCGAGTGAATAGTTTGAACCCACATTGTGTATCTCTGATAGACCTGACTGCAAGTGACCAAACCAGAAAGTGGAATCCATGCATCAGAAATATGCGAAATAAAGATCTAGTTGCTAACGATTCTTCTTCTAAGTGAGATCGAGAACCACATACCACAGCATAGGAATTAGCAACTTTGTCAGGATCTTTAATATAGTCACCTGCTCATAAAAAAGAATAATTACTCCAATCATACCGATGATTTTCATTTTAATGACAAAAAATAACATGCCAAAGGAATATGTGATCATTATTATTTTTAATTAAAGAAAATGACTTTTATAATTCCTAGTTTAATGAAATTTAAATTAACTAGATACAACAGAAAGATAGGGAAAGCTTTTGAGTAAAATATGTTGCCAAACATATTAAACATACATTTTTTGAGCTGAAGAAGACTTTCCTCTAGCTTAGTGATATCAGAAAACTTAGTAGCACCATCAGCATCAGCAAACAGAATAACAGAACCCCTCGCACTAAGTACACCCTAAAATAATATTAATATCAGCCATAATAAAATTTTGTGAATAATGAACTGAAGACAAACTTACCAAACGAACTGCACCTCCTTTACCTCGGTTAGGTTTCAAGTCAAGAACCCGTACTTTTTCAGACCCAAAATTTTTTGTATATTGCAATGCAACATCGGCAGTTTTGTCTTTGCTACCATCACTAACGACAATGACTTCATAAGAGAAACCTGATATTTCTTTACATCTTTTTTCCAAGAAGTCAAGGCATTCGTCTAGCATAGGTGGTACTGAATTAGACATAATGAATAAAACCTATTAATGAGGTTCATCATCATTTAAGATTAAAAAAATTTACTTATATAAAAAATGCATACATCTTTCTTCCTCATTGTAAGCTGGAACAATGACACTTAAAGAAACAGTAGGAGGATCTTTGATGGATGGAAAAGGTATGTCTTTAGAATTCTGAACATCATAAAAATGATGTTCCTTCTTCGAACGTTTTATGTCAGGGTAAGGCTGAGCTCCAAAGTACACATATAACAACTAAAAAGAAAATGAATAGGCATTTAATTAAAAAAATAAAATAAACTAACAGTTAGGTCAAGTAAACCAAAACTACACACCGTTAATGCCACTGTAAAGTACAAAATAGCTATAGCAGCAAAGAATATGCTCCAAAGATCAAAATACATCTTTATTTTTTGCAATAACAGACTACATTATTATTGAAAGATAACGGATCCACGTAAACCGACATTAAATTGTGGTTTCATAGAGGTAAGGTTTTGTTATTGGTCTTCTGGAAGTTTCAGGTTAAAAATTATAGTCATAGGGAATTGTTGATTTTATATTACACGGTATAAATGGTTCTTAATAAACATAGAATGTATCTTCTATTAGATTACATTTAAAATCATATTTCCCATTTAACTCAGTTGTCATTCTTTGACTTCAAATTGTTTCCTTAGAGTAGAAAAGAAGTATTGAAACTAAGAAAATAATGTGGAATTAGAGTTTTAGAACTATAAGAACCTGGATCTTACCAAAAACAGAACTAAAAAAGTCTCTTCATGTAATAATACAACATTCTTATTTAGTTAATATCCATTCTGGACAGTCCCTATTAGAATGAAGTGGTCATGAACATTGTAAATTGCCTAATTTTATATATATATATAGATTTAAAAAAATATATTTTTAAGGAATGCATTTCGTGTTGTAAAACGAAATTCGAGAGATTGACAAACGTAGATGGGAGAATTGTATTAACTATTGAAACGTGTTTTGATGGAGTATGTGTAGTTGGCATCTAGTGAACAATATTCTATGGTAAGAACACGAAAAAATAAGAAATCCTACTCATTAGCTTAATATCTGTACCTTGGGAAAGAGGTCCAATGTACGAAATTGCGTACATACAAAATGTAATTCAATTGAACTGCACGAAACAAATCTAGGTAATGTAAAATGGGCTGGAGGTTATACATTTTCAAAAGATGAAGAAGGAACTTTGTTGGAAAAATAGTAAGGAAATTTTAGGAAGACGGGTGAGATATTTTTAGGACTTGGTGATGTAATAAGGTCGAATGTGAGGCTGCAGTAGGAAGAAGAGGAGAAGCGAGACGATGACAATGAAAAGGAAGTACCGACAGATCAAGAGTAAATAAAGGAAATGTTTGCATCATCTCAGAATGAATATAACGAAATACTGAATTTTATAAATATAGAGAGCACGAAGTGGTAAGGTAGATATGTAAATTGACACAGGATGTCTGTACCCAAGAAAGCTCTGAAGGAATATTTATTTATTATACACGTCAATCAAATCGTGCGAATCAATGAAATTGATCAAAGCGTACGCATAAGTAGTACTTTTAGGAGCATTAAAAGAGTTTGAAGCGGTGACCGCGAGCAAGGACTTGAAAACAAACTAAGATGTAAAATATGCACAAGGACGTCAAGAATCCAAACAAATAGAGAAGAAGTGCAAAATAATGGATACAAATTCAAGCATTGCAAAAACCTATGAGTGCAAGACTGAAATAAGACCGAAGGTGACGTATGGAAGCATGTACGGACAATCAGTAAAGAGAGTGAGATGATCCTGAAGATTTGTGAAAGAAAAATCTTCAAGAAGATGTTTGGACAGACAAATGAGTATGGAAATTGGATAATTAAAGAAAATAGCTAAGTCGAGCCGCTCGTTGGTGGGGCTAGTATTGTGGATATTGTAGATTACGCAACGTTCAAAGTATGTCAGATGAAGGCTACCAAAGATGATAAATGGCAGGCCAGGCTTAAGTGGTTTGAGGATGTGGAAGATGATCCACGATGGATGGAAGTGGGAGAATGGCAAAGGTAGGCGGAAGATACAACAGGAGTGACTATCAATTCTAGTATATTTTCCCCATTAATTGCATTTTCACCTAATATTGTTCTTACCATCATCTTTGGGCTAACTTGAACAGCATCGGCGAGAATTTATTTCTCTCTCTTAAACATGTTCGAACTTCGAAGGTTTCAGATACTAATTGCATCAGAACTGGGGAATTAGGATTATTCGAACACACGTTTCCCAAACTTATAAATTTCTCTTCAGTTAAATCGAACTATTTCTAGGGTGTAAATTGATATATTATATATTTCTTCTTTACTTTCTAAAAAATTGAGTATTTAATAGACATAATATACTATCGGATGAAAGTGTCCATTAGCGATAAGTATCGGTCTTTAAGTAGATATATAGAAATTTTAATTCAATTTTCTAGTAGTTAAAAAATGTTTCTTATTCCGTTTATTCACTTGAGCCTTCAACTAATAAAATGAGAAATACAAAACTTTACTAACGAAGATGAATTCTCTAATGAGTTACGGAAATTTGTGAAGAAGGAATTCTATAAAAATGTATTGTAACAGGCAATTAATATTATAATTATAAATGAGATATTGGGTCATAAGAGAAATCCAAATATTTGAATATGAATTCTCATCCTGGCTATAATAGGGTATTTACTTATAAGATGAACCATCCTTTAACCTCCTAAATCCTAATTGAAGTATATATGGACATCAAATCCTTATTTAAAATGTCAATGTAAATAATTCGGCCTTACTGCAGTTATTTTCAATGTCATTGTTGTTGATCACTATTTAAATTGAAATAGTTTTAATAAATTCACCTAATCATTTATTTAATGTTTTTTATTGTAATTAAGTACTACAGAAAGGAAGAAAAAAAACTAGATTATAAAATCGAGTTAGGTTTACTTAAATATACTTTTAGTCTAACTGCACAAAATAGTTAAGTCTTCTTCCATTACAGAGCTTTGGTAGCTCTTTGTGACATTCAAGACTTAGTCATTTGAGATCTATTAAATTGCTTTGTAAGGCTGTAGTTAATTTAAAAATAATAGTTAATTTAGTCTTGACTATCTTGATGTTTGTTATTCATTGCTTTAATTGCTATGTAGTTTATTATACAATTGAATGAGTAAATGAGACATAATACTCTGGATTATTTTATGGATATTTTGATTATATATTAAAGATAATGTTGAAATACTCACTTTCAATTAAACTATTAGGCTACCTCCAGAGAAATGTTTTACCTAATTGGAGATATATGCACTGTAAAACAGATTTCCGATTAGAAGAACTCAGTCATCGAAAAATCATTAGAATATCTGGAGAAGGATCTTCCGATTATTTGCAAGGATTGGTCACTAATGATGTCAACAATTTCACTTCTTCAATGTATGCTATGTTCTTAAATAATAAAGGAAGAATTTTATTTGATTCAATTATCTATCGTGCTAAAGAGAAGGATACTCTGCTATTGGAATGTGATTCTGAAGCTTCTCACCAATTAATCAAACATCTAAATATGTATAAACTTAGAAAAAAAATTGCAATTTCTCTAGATTCTGAACTCAGTGTATGGTGTATTTACAACCCTAAGGTTCCTGATTTGATTGTTGATAACAATGTGAATGAGGCCAAAGTTCCTTCTGAGACGTTTGATGTGGATACTGTTGATAAAAATTTAATTATTACATCTGATCCGCGAACTAATTTGTTAGGTTACCGTATGATTTCCAGAGAAGATGATAAAATACCCGATTTACCTAGAGGTGATTTGTATACATTGTGTCGATATAAATTAGGAATCGGTGAAGGTATTAATGAACTTCTTTTTGGGCAAAGTTTTCCACTCGAAATGAACTGTGATTACCTTAATGGTGTTTCTTTTAATAAGGGATGTTATATTGGTCAAGAGCTGACTGCGAGGACATTTCATACTGGTGTGATTAGAAAACGGTTAATGCCTCTTCTCTTTGAATCTGAAGCACTCGGTGTTCCTATAAACACACCTATTGAAGACCCTAATGTTACTAGAAAATCGCCCATTGGAAAAGTTAGAACTCTAAAAGGTTTAAATGGAATCGGGTTGATGCGTGTGTCAGAAACAATTGAATCAAAATCTCTAAAAGTACTTAATTTTATTGCAAGATCTTATGTTCCAGTTTGGTGGCCTGAAGAAACTGTAGAGCAAACATATATCAAAATAAAAAAATAAATTATTGATGTCAATATGTACCTGACCCTAATCTCCTATCTTATGATTTTAGCTATTTTTTTTATTAAATTACATTTTTAGTTAAAAGAGTTTTTTTTATGAAGTAACAAATTTGACAAAAGTAATTTAGAAAATTAGCTTTTCCAATCTGAACTACGCAAGAAAAACAATTTTCGTCAATACTAAAAATAATACCAATGCAGTACTATACTCCTCCATCTTTCTCGAACCTTTTGTTTCTTGTAATGAAGTTTAAAAGAGAAGTCATTTACCTTCTGACCTAGCATTTTAGTCTAGCCCTGAAGACTAAATGAAGAAAATCACTCACGTTCTGTTATATAATGTATGGAAGATGCAATGCATAAAGATCATAATAAATATTCCTCCAGATATGTAGTCCCTAATCTGTCCATTTTGTCTTGGCTAATTCCTATAATATTTGGTGCATTGGCCCTTAATTAATAGGTCAGTTTAATTTACTGTCAATAAATAAATACATTATTATTCAAGAGTATCTATTTCTGGATATTTTAAGTTTATTTATATAGTCTTTATTTCCAGATCGGCTTAGTGAGCCGATATATGGGTATATTAACAAAAAATAAATTTTTAACATTTGCTTAAGTGGTGCTATAGTCTCATACAAAAGAAAACTAACGATATATGATACCTTTAGCTATGGTCTAGTAAAGTTTGTAGAATACATGAATAATAATACAATAATTAAAAAAATAAAGTAAATGAATAAAATATGTATATAATACAAATAAAAATTGTGTGTATATATAGGTAAACTCTTTTATATATATAAAAGAGTTTACATTAGGTCTTGCAAAAGTCTGGGTTTTAGTCTACGGGATGATATTGGAGTTCCTGTTGAAAGGTTCTACAGCTTTTACAGCTGGTAACTGGGAATGAGATTTGGTAAAGCATTTTTTAATGAATTCATCATTGTTTCTCTTTGAAGTTGACGATTTCTTATAAGCCAATGGACATCCACTGTGATTCTCAGGGTCTTATTTTGGAAGGTTTTTTTTTTTTTTTGGTTTCATACAGGAAGCTGCACTCCACACTTCACAACCGAAGACCATTAATGGCCTTAGAATTGTCTTGTAAATTAGGATGGTTATTTATGGATATTGAATTTGAAGAAAAAATAAGTATGTAATAAATTCATATAAAAAACTATAAATGAATTCAAAATCTGAATCTAGCAACCATTTTGGTTACTTAGCAGTGTCATGACAGTTAGAGGAGACAATTTCCTCTTTCAATATTCTACCATCTAAGATTCATTCATTTTTCTTTTTGTCAAGAAAGTCTGACTTATTGTTAATATGGAAAGTTTGGGCATTTTATTTTAAAAATAAATGAAAATAATTAATCACTCTGCAACGTTAAGATGATTTACTGATGCAATAATTTGACTGTTTTAAAATTTTTTATACTTAACAAATAAAAATATATTTGTTTTTAATTAGATAAGTGTATGTGAGCATATTGTAATCTCAATAATATAAGAAAAAAAACAGTTTCATCAATGAATTTAGAGTTAAAATAAGTGGTTCAGGAATTATTTAAATATTCTTCTTCCTCTAACTGCTATGTGATGTTTAGCATTAAGTTGCATTCCCAGTCCACTGGTCTGAATTATGCTAGTCTTCTCATCTAGTGATCATGTCCTCAGTTTTCAACACAGCCAGATTACTTATATTTGGATATTATCCTTTCTTTAAACCATTTTAACTGCCGATCTTCCAGGGTATGATCACTAATCTTCTCTTTTGGCACAATCCCTCTTGTACTTACAGGCCATTGTTCAGAGGAATCTCATTACAGCTGCTGAGATCCTGCTTACAGGTTTGTCCAGTTTTCTAATTCACGCAGGACCACTGGGAATTACACTGATTTAAATAATCTAAATTATTCTGTATTAGGAAGGATAAGTATACAGATAATCCAAACAAGAAAAAAAAAAGTTCACTGATGGAAGACGTTATGAAAATGGCTCTTTCTTCCAGGACATATTTACGGGAATTACTTTCATGTGGTAGTGTTTAAATCGTATTGTGGTGTCTTTTAATAGGAAAAATTAAAACTAGTACATCCAAAAGTTGAGGAATCTTTTTATACATGAGTTTTGCAGCAGAATTCACGAGCGTATGCAATACCTGAGGTTATATTAGCTGAAGAGTCTTTAAAGTTTTTCTTTAATATTTTTTTAAGAAGGATGACAAAGCAGACTTTAATGCCTGTAAAGGTCGGCTTGGTAAATTCAAAAAACAGATATTGTTTTTTATATTAATTTTATATTCAATGGAAAATTTCCTTACACTTTATACTCTCTCTTGCATGCTACTAATATTGTCATTTAAATCTAAAAAGTAAATGATTTATGTTTGTCCTCTACATACTAGTTTATGAATATTTTTGATTGTCAACATAGTCTCTAAATTTAAAACCTGGAGTATTTTAGGGTATATTTTCTCTAGATATGAATACCTGTATTAGTTCTAGGAATTAGGAATCATGAAATGCTAGGGCTCTCCATTATCTATTTCAATGTTAACCCTAATACACGGTGGGCCAGACCCCCTTACCGTGCACCCCCCCCCACATCCCTATAAATTGCATATCGTTGTGTTCCTTGTAACAATTTATTAAAAAAAAGCCAATGTTCCCACAAAAAAAAGTGAACGCACTGCCCCAAAATGGCGTCCAAAGATGGCGGATTGACGACTTTGACTTTAGTTAGTTTTTTGGTCACTGAGAATCAGCATTAAGCTTAATTTCCTCATAGTTGGTCTTTTATTAAAGCTGAATAGTTATAGAATAATAAAACATGAAGAAATATTAAAAAATAATTGGCTAAGGCTATGAAAAACACCAGTAAAGTCAATTTTTTTAACAAAAAAATTTTCAAGTTACAAATCAAGCGTCGTTTGTAATTAAACGGCCTACAATAACGAAAAACGTGCTGAAATAAACCATCTGGAGAATATATTTCTCTTTCTGAAACGCTGATTATTTTTTACAAATGTTTAAGTAGTTCCGTAAAAAATGCACTTATGCGGCAGAAAAGCGGTACTGGCGTGGGTGCCTACAGGCCTCTACCACACCATTCAGTGCCCATAAATAGCTTAGTTATAGTGATATAATAACATTTTTGGTACATTATATTGGTTTTATTAACGAACAAATATTAATACAATAATTTTATAGTAAAAAAAAAAATTAAATTAAAAAAAAAATGTATTATTATTTTTTTAAATTTTAACCTCCTTTATTCTATACGTAGGTCGTTTAAGAATACCTCAATTGTAAAAATGATATAATTATAATAATAAAACTTAATTAAAAAATATTTTGCTAAATATCTTGATTTTTTTATTTAACGTTTGCAATTTGACACTGTGTTTTGAATATTTACTGATTCTTAGAAGTAATTAAAATGTTTATATACTTCCCAGGAAATGAGTCATATTCATACCTTTTTTATAAACTAAAATAATATATACCTAATCTGAACTATATATAATGAATAGCTACCGGGTTGTTTAGTAAAACTCATATATCACTACTTAAAAAATTAATTTTTATTTCCTTTATTTTGTGCAGAAGTTGGACTATATCATAAATAAATAGGAAATTTTAATATTGAATGAATTATTCTCTATGCACAAAGAAAGATATAAAGGGTGACCTTATAAGTTCTTCTATAAACCAAAACTGATTGTTTGGATTTGATCTCAAAATGAAGAAAAACGTGAACTTAAACGAGAAAATTGGAAAAATACATTAAGCGAACGAGAAAGGATGTGCCAAAACCTCGGAATAGATAAAAAGGACCAGTTATATCCATTATATAGCTAAATGAATAAACCTCGGGACTATATTAACTTTGAAGATGAATATAGAGATGTATATCGAGAAAGTTATAGCTCATAGCTTTCCTTCTGTTTAGTGGAATTTCAAAAGATTTTTTAAGGGATCTAAAAGGAAAACGAGTTTTTCTGAAAGACAGTTAGATATTAGAAAATAATATGAAAGGACTGTGGTTTTTACCTTTACAAGAAAAAAGATACTAGGAAATGTAATACCCATCAAGACCCATTCCTGTTTAGTGTATCAAACTAATTATACACAAGAATCGTAGAAGCTGGAATAAGAAATATTGTCGATTGCCAGAGTCAGATGGATTGAGAAACTCAAGTTGCACATTGGAAGAGAAGTTAAAAATTGAGACTGTCTTCACTTTAAGGCAGGTTATAGAGAAGTCCACATAAAAAGAAAAATAGCTCTCTATCTGCTCAGTGCCTCACACTTTGGATTATGCTAATATCTAACTGTCTTTCAGAAAAACTCGTTTTCCTTTTAGATCCCTTAAAAAAACTTTTGAAATTCCACTAAACAGAAGGAAAGCTATGAGCTATAACTTTCTCGATATACATCTCAATATTCATCTTCAAAGTTAATACAGTCCCGAGGTGCACCTTCAGCAATCGAAAATAAAGTGGTTTTCACCATAATAAACCTACATCGTCCACTTAATATCATCCAAACTGCAATTGATCCCGTTTTAGCAGCATCTTGAAATATTCTGTTCATCTATCTACTATACATTCATTTAGCTATATAATGGATATAACTGGTCCTTTTTATCTATTCCGAGGTTTTGGCACTTCCTTTCTCGTTCGCTTAATGTATTTTTCCAATTTTCTCGTTTAAGTTCACGTTTTTCCTCATTTTGAGATCAAATCCAAACAATCAGTTTTGGTTTATAGAAGAACTTATAGGGTCACCCTTTATATCTTTCTTTGTGCATAGAGAATAATTCATTCAATATTAAAATTTCCTATTTATTTATGATATAGTCCAACTTCTGCACAAAATAAAGGAAATAAAAATTAATTTTTTAATTAGTGATATATGAGTTTTACTAAACAACCCGGTAGCTATTCATTATATATA